CACACCAGACCTTAGCACTTAGGGAATAGGTGGCACACCAGACCTTAGCACTTAGGGAATAGGTGGCACACCAGACCTTAACACTTGGGTAATGGCTGGTACACCAGATCTTAGCACTTGGGTAATGGCTGGGTGCATGTAACTTTAACTTTCCTAAACAGTGTTAAGTTTAAAGGCAAACTGATCCTTTTCTACACTTTTTACTCTAAAATGCCCTCATGTGGTCATTTAGGGAAACCTATAAATAATCTCCAAACGGACCTGAGGTGCTGTTTCTTTATAATAAACATTGCTTTCAATAGTAACTCTAGACTAGAGTTTTTAAAAATATATAATACATATTACCCATGTATAAAGTTAACGTTGATACTGGGTACCAGTTATTGTGATATTATCAGTTGGTAATGTAACCTTTTCTTTGATTCTGAATTGCACTTTATATAACTCAAATGTACTGTTTGGTTTGAAACAACCAATTCATATTATTCAGTTATAATACTTTAACAAAGAGTGTCTGTTAATATAACTGGAGGGTAAAGTTTACCTAGACATTTGAAAATCTGTTCATATTACTTGAGTTTCTGGCTAAGTAGTATCCAAGCATGTTGCCAATGGCAGAAAAAAAAACGTTTTTGATTTTTAAGTCGTGTAGTGATTTTTCTAGTTTTATCATTGCTAACTATTAGCTATAAATATATATCTGTGTGTCACTGAAACCACTTTAATTATATTCTGGTTTGTTGTTGATTTATTATCTCCAATCGAGCTTAAATCATTTCAAAATCATTTACTTCGATAAAGGTTTGAGTTAATTCATTATTTTATAACAAAGTTAGGAATTCTAGACATTTTATTATTGTTTTATGATTTTTCACAGATTCATGTTACAGTATTGTGTTTTATTGTTAGATGTTTTGAATAATTCATTTCTTTGTCATGCACACGTTTTTAACACATTAACTAAAGCAACTTTTTATATATTGTATTGAAACATTTTGCATTAAACAATATATATGTTTTTTTGTGGATGTGCCTTTTTATTTTTCTAGAACGCTGATACGTACACTGTGTTACTCAAAGTTTTAAGGTTTAGTTGTTTTAAAGCCATACTGGGCTATTTTCTGTGTCCACCGCAGGGAACTGAACCCCAGATTTTAGCATCAATAGCCTGAAGACTTACTACTGTCCCACCGGGGGACAGATTTTAATGTCTCGCACCTTGAGAAAAAGAGCCTGTTGTGTTTTAATAGTGAGTGGATCCACCTGTAAAGTTAATCACTACCTAAACTCTGTTATTAATATTGTTACGTCTCCGTTCGTTAATTGATTTTTCGTAACTTCGTTCCGACGAAACTTTAGCGACACAAGTCCTTTCTTAATAAAACTGGTTTATTCTTCCGAATACAATTTCAACAGTCGCTCTATAACAAACGCTATATCAACGAA